TGTTTTGTCTATATATATATATATATGAATAAACTACGTCTCCCATCTCAGTGTGTAAACCACTAGCCATAAAAGAATAGTTGCATGTTAAATCCATTGTTTTTCCCCCCTTGTGCCATTCTCGGCATCTACCTAAGAAGAATATCACTTCCTACTCTTCCTTGGCTTCCTCGTGTCAGGTTGCAATAGAACCAAGTCTGATGCGTGGTCATGATCACCTGATACGTTTTACTATTTGATGCACACGTCAGCTTTTAGCATCCATATTTCGTTGTTTTAGAGTTTTGATCATTTCTTGATCAGGCCCTAATAAATTGCAAGCAAGACAGAAGAGGTGATGAGTCACATGGATCACAACCCTGTCCCTAGTACTTTATTTATTTTATTATTCTAAAATTGAAGTGTGTTTCATATAGTTATGTGATTTTTGATAAACTTTATGGCTATATTTAACCATCTATATTTTTAACAAAGGCTGATGAAGCTAGACAAGAAGTAAACTCCTGGGTTCAAAACTTAACCGGTGGCCTTATCAATGAGCTTCTTCCATCTGGATCTGTGAATAATATGACCAGACTTGTACTTGGAAATGCGCTTTATTTTAAAGGACCCTGGAATGTAAAGTTTGATGCATCTCAAACCAAAGAAGCTGATTTTTTTCGACTTGATGGAAGAACCATTCAAGCTCCTTTTATGACAACCAAAGTGAAGCAGTATATCTCTGCTTATGATGATTTTAAAGTTCTCAGAATGCCTTATAAGCAAGGTGAGGATGAGAGGCAGTTCTCTATGTATATTTTCCTGCCAGAAGCTCGGGACGGCCTCTCTAGTCTTGCAGAAAAGCTGAATTCTGAATCAGGATTCTTGAACCACCATATTCCTCATCAGAAGGTTGAAGTTGGAAAATTCAAAATTCCAAAATTCAAAATTTCTTTCGGTTTCGAGGCATCCGATCTGCTTAAAGCCTTGGGCTTGGTCTCGGCCTTCGGTGTGGATGCTGAGCTGACAGAAATGGTGGATTCATCTGTGGGACGAGACCTTTCTATCTCTTCAATTCATCACAAATCCTTTGTGGAAGTGAACGAGGAAGGAACTGAAGCAGCTGCTGCTACTGCTGCTGTGGTTATGTTAAGATCTGCTTTCATATCACGTGAACCTTTGGACTTTGTCGCTGATCATCCATTTCTTTTTGTGATCAGAGAAGACAAGACTGGAGTTGTGCTTTTCATTGGGCATCTGTTGAATCCTCAAACCGCAGTCTAAATTTAGAAGTGTTCGTACTATCAAGCAAAATAAAATAGAAAACGAGAGCCACTCTTTAAATAGGTGAGGATCACCCTTTTATTATCTTTATTTTGTGTCATGACCCCTTCTCAAAGTGTCTGTTTTTGGTTGAACTAATCTGTGATTACTTTTGAAAAGTGTAGCTTTTGGTGAGTAAAATGCTTGTCCTTGTTTCTTCATCAGCATGCTTTAAATTGTTTAGAGACGCACTTTTCTTGTTCCTATTTTATAAATGACTTTCATTCCTCTTCTAAATGATCAAGGTCCTCGAGTTAAAACTTTGTTATTGCCCGTTACAATTTAAAGACTTGAAATTACAACTTAATTTTCAAGTTTAGCTCTCATCTACACTATTAAATTGTTTTTCATATATATATATATATATATATATATATAATCAAGTTATTTTATATAT